CTTACCTTGCTTGGTGCTGAAAGTCCCAGACCGGCGAGTCCGTGTTTTCTACTACCGAAGTGGTTATCGGAGCATCTGCACCAGCCACAGCGAACGATACGCAGCTACAGGGTGCTGTTACCTCACGTTCTGTCAAAGGACTCCCTAAAACGATACAGAATGAAATACAGATCTGTTAGTAACGATTAAAAGAAAAATCTAAATGCAGTTCAGCAATTAAAAACTTGATTAACAAAGAAAACCACCATGTAGGAAATACTTACTGTTGGGGGAGGTAAAAATACTTTGTATTTACAACGGGAGCAAATATTACATGAAGTTTTTGCAGAGCAGAAACTGGAATATTCAAGGGAGAAATGGAAAACCCATTTGCCCAAGACCATCTGAGCAGTCAGAGGTGAAGCCAGGAGTAAAACCCAGGTCCCCAGGACCCTGTTCCAGGGCTCGATCCACCGTCCGTGCTAGGCCACGGTTCGGCAATCCTAAACATCCAGCCTTACAGAAGGGGGGTTAACTTAAAAGCTGGATTGCTGAGAGGAAGCTCAGGTGTGCTGGCTAAATAAGAAAACAGACACCCGGTGTTAATGATATCCAAGGATTAATTCATTTTTTATAGACTTTGTTCATTCATCTCAAAAAGAATGACATAAACATTCCTGCGAGGTAGAAACAAGTACCACCCTCATTTGTTTGGAAAGTTTAAATACAGAGGAAAAAGCAGCATCTACAATTTTATTTCAACTTCTTGCTGGCTTCCCTCCCATTATTTTCCCACTGCCCTTAGAATCATAAAATCACAGACCTGTTTGGGTGGGAAGGGACCTTAAAGCCCCTCCAGTGCCACCCCCTGCCATGGGCAGGGACACCTTCCATAGCCCAGGTTGCTCCAAGCCTCATCCAGCCTGGCCTTGGACACTCCCAGCGATGGGGCATCCACAACCCTTCTCTGGGAACCTGTCCCAGTGCTCCCAACCTCTGCGGGAAGAATTCCTTCCTGATGGCCCATCTCCATCTCCTTCTTGCAGTCTAAAGCCACTGCCCTTCATACCCATTGCAGAAGTGGGAGTTTATGTCACAGATCAATTGTCACAATCCCCTGTATTTCCCCATGGGATGTGTTTTGAGCAGGAATAAGGCACATGGAAGTAAAATACGGGTCACTATTCCGACTTCCAGGGCACACGTGCCCCCCCCCAGCCCTGCTGCTGCAGGCAATTTGAGAGAAGGAAGTCTAGCACTGATGAGTGCCAAAACAAAGTTTATATCAGAGTTAGGGAAGGAAAAATGAAATTTCCTTCATGCCCTGGCCCAGGGAGCTCTCCATGAGGGCAGCACACAGGCTTTAATGACGCTGGTTTGAAGCAGCTTCAGGAAACATCAGTTTTAATCCACGCACAAGCCAGACCTCGCCACGGGGATGGCATTCACCCTGCGCTGCACCAGCGAAACCGTTACGTCCTTGCGTAAATACAGTCCAGGGCAGGAACCAGAAGCACTCTCCTTCTCATTTGTCCTGAAATAACTTAGGAAAAGGTGTGAGAAAACAGATGATGAATCAGTTGGACTCTACTGGGTGTGTTTGCCCTTAGAGGCAGACAGTTTATCACCAGAGGAACGCAAGGTCAAATTAAGGGTTGGAGCCAGATGTTCTCCAGATGCTGCTGGATATTATGGATTAGAGATTATTGACTGGAAGATGCAAAAATTAAACAGCAACTTGCACCCAAATACAGCCCAAAAAGGCAGAGGGATGCTTAAGGCCTCTTCCCGTCCGTCCGTGACCCTTCCCTCCAGGCTGAGACCCTCTCAGTCATGGTCACATTACTGAGACTCGTTTGCTGCAGCGAACCACAGCCTGTAAAACTGTAGTAGCATTTTACTGCTCAGGGAGCTGTACAGATGGTGAGTCTGTAGCTAGGAGAAATGGATTTAGCCAAGGGGAAACAAGGTCAGACTTTGCAACCAACCATCAGCGTAGTTATTAATGACTGTTCCCTCTTTCTGCTTTCCACATTCCCAGCATGTATGTAGCTTTGGGCTTTTGAAGACCTTGGTTGCCAGAATGACCAAAACTGAGGACTATAAACCTGATTTGATGAAAAATAATTCTCTTTCCTACTGAAGTCTGATTTTCTGTGAAAATCTGAGCAAATGTGACTGTGTATAGTAGCTTACTGAGCTCCTTTATGCCTTCACCAGGAGGATTTGCTTGAGAACAAGGTTGTTTTTTTTTTAATATCTGCAATGATTTTGCTTAAAACAGGCCACATCAAACTCTGCACTTTGGGGAGACTGTAGACATGACAGCTCACAGACGTATGTGAGCTCAGCTTAGAGAAATGAGCAAGACCTCTCAAGCCTAGTTCACTGTCTCCTGGGTGCAAAGGCAGATCTAAAATTCATCTTCGTAGAGAAAGGCAAAAAATCAGCATTTCTCAAGTGTTAGCTTGCTTTTCTTCTGGGAAAAGTCTATTAGAGACATAATTGTTGGCTCTAATAAGCAAGCTCAGCCATAATCAAAGGAGTTTTGCAGAGCCTTATTTAGCCTAGCAACACCTAATGCCTGAACTTTGAGCTACCCTTAAAAATATTAGTTTCATTCTGCTTTATAAAAGCAAGATTTGAAGGATGAGGCAAGAGAAGGAATCGAGGTGTGTGACCCGATGGTTCAAGTGGTAAAACGCAAAAGCTTGAAGCCCAAGGCACCTCCTGCACAAAACGGTCCAGATTGGCAGCATGACGTGCCGATGGCTACCACATCTATTCCCTGGGGATGCAAGAACTGCCCAGAAAAAAAGATGGCAGGAAGAGGTTAGCAACTGCAGTCCTGTGGAAAATTCTGCTCTAGTACTGTTTGAAGCAGCGCTCAAAAGAGAAGTGAGAGAAAAGAAAAACAGAACCAAGCTAGAGAAAGGAAAAACAGAACTAAGAGAAAAGACTTGTTGGATTGAACTTCTGCACTGTGACAGAATTAATTTCGTTCCTTCCCAATGTTAGGAAATTTTGGCTATTTCTTTACTTGATATTATTTGGAAGATGAAGAAAAAGCCAACAGGAAAATTGACTTCAGACCCCAAGAAATATGAAGAGGTTTGGGAAAACATCTTGTACCTTCATTCAGTTTCTGAAAATTTGGTATCTTAAATAATTCTTGCAGAGTTGCAGGGAGTTCACCATCCTTAACACACCCGACTGGAAATATGTTCCAGCCTTTTTACCTGTAACGTGATAATTACACTGTTATCATGAAGAATGAAAATTCTTCTTGAAACCAGCTTATATCGCATTCACTTCAGTGTATCAGTTGCCTCTCAGTTAGTCACTTCTAAAAAACCCCTGAAATGGTAAGTTGGAAGATGGAAATATTGCAACAGTGTTCACCATTGAAAAGAAACCTTCTTTATCCCTTCAAAAACTTGGCAGTAGCCAACAGGTTTCCAAAGACTGTGAATTCCAGATTACAGAATCATTATAAAAAAGCCATCTGTGGGGCTCAGTATGTGTCAGAATTAGTTACACTTCAATTATGCTTATATTTAACTCTTTCAGTTGTGTTAGCACGCCAGAAAACACCAAGTGTTTCCTCCTGGCACGTCACCTGGGCTGTGAAACAGCTGATCTCAACAGAGACGTTCCCAGCAGACTCACCTCGGGTCAGATCCTTATTCCTGTGTGTATTTAGGTGGCGTGCAGCGGCCCAGACAAGACCAGCTCGCTCCAAGTGCTGAGCAGACACAAAGCGATCAAGTCACGCAGCACTAGAGGTGCCCAAGGTGAAGGATAGAGCACCTGATTTATTTAAAAGGGCTTAACGCATCATTAACGGACATTTACAGGCTACAACTTGAAGGAAAAACAAAAGGCTCCAAAAAGCTGCGATTTCACAGAGTGTGTTACCTTGTAGCACATCAAGAACCTGCTAGGAAGGGATATTTTAATAGGCTTAGTGACAGTTTAAAATCAAAGAGCAATTCTTTGGTCACTCTCAGCATAGCGAGTCGGCACCGACCTGTAATTCCCACCCTTCAGAGCAGGAAGCAGTGTGTCAAGCCTGGGTGAGCTCAAGACTTCCCTGCCCTTACACTGCCCTTCCTCACTGCTGTGCTTGGCAGTCTCCATATAGCACAAGTAAATCCAGCTTTACAAATGGATTATGTGCTAAAAATGCCAATTTCCGCGAGTCTTTGAGATACGAGTGTCTTGGGGTTAAGTTATTCAGATAATGCTTAACTTCAGAAGTCAGCTGCCATCTCTAACAGTGAACATTATTTCTATTTTGGACTTTGTTAACAGAGAGAGGCTGAAGAGTTTAACCTCCTCCTTCCACCACACATACACAATGATGACTGACACCCCCTGCAGTTCTGCTCCAGCTCTGGGCCCCCAAAAGCAGAAGGACACGGAGCTGTTGGAGCGAGTCCAGAGGAGGCCCCGGAGATACTCCGAGGGCTGGAACCCCTCTGCATGGGGACAGGCTGGGAGAGTTGGGGGGTTCAGCCTGGAGAAGGGAAGCTCCGGGGAGACCTTAGAGCCCCTTCCAGCTGCGGGAGACTTTTTCCAAGGCCAGGGAGTGACAGGACAAGGGGTAATGGGTTTAAACAGAAAGAGGGAGATGGGACATCAAGAAGAAATTCTTCCCACAGAGGGTGGGAGCACTGGGACAGGTTGCCCAGAGAAGCTGTGGATGCCCCATCCCTGGAAGTGTCCAAGGCCAGGTTGGATGAGGCTTGGAGCAACCTGGTCTATGGAAGGTGTCCCTGCCCATGGCAGGGGGTGGGACTGGATGATCTTCAAGGTCCCTTCCAACCCAAACCATACCATGATTCTATGGATAATGCAATGCTCTTGGGGTTGCAACACTATGAAGCCAAGTTCAAAATCCATCACATCCCTTCACTGTGCCAGAGTAAGGCTGAGGGTTTGTTATTAAATTGCTCCAGGCAGTACCTGCTATGAACAGATCCCCCGAAAACAAATAAAGAAAAAGGTGGTGGCGTTACCTTTCAAACTGAGATGCATTGCTCTTTCCACAAGGATATTGACAGCAACTGTGTTTTCCAGAAATACCATGTCTTCTTCTTGTGGTTGGCCATTGGTGATTTCTGGGCTTCCAACGTCCAGTTTCTGACCCTGATTTCCCAAGTCCCGTTGCCTCAGATCGGGGGTTTTCTCTGCGCCTTCATCTTCACTGTTGCTGTCTTCCTCAGCCCAGTGAAGTCTGCTGGGCAGAGCAGCGGAAGTGGAAGAAAGGACAACGTGAACGCGTACAGCAGCTCCTGCTAGGTTTGCAGCGTTGCATCGGAACAACGGATAAACCCCTGGAAGAGAATTCACAGACACCAGCTAAACAAGCCGAAGAAAAACTAGGATCTGGGAATACAGCTGGTATGGCTCATTACAGTGAAGATCTCGCATCGGACCAGCAGATGAAGTTTGAATTTCAGTGCAATGCCTATGCAAGGTTTCGCTGGCAGAAGTATCAGCGCGTAAAGGTTAAAGACAGTGACCAACCCCCAGACTGGGTACACCCTCGTTTTCCCACTGCCAGCTCAGATGACTATTTTAAAGCACATCAACTTCCCCAGAGTCCTAGGAACAGCACCTCTGCATCATTTTATATCCATATACGGAGAATACAAAATAGACACAGCATAAAAATGTGTTTTAACTCTTGTTCCTTCTCCCTTCCCTGAGCGCACTCAAAAGAAGAGCCAATGACCTGTCCCCAGACCTACCTGGTGGGTCTACCACCATCCCATCACCCCCGTAGATGGCAGAAGCCTAAGTAGGTGATAAAAGAAGAAGTTTCCATCACCTCCTCAGTGCTTTGTCCTTTGCCCTGGCTGCAGGCATTCGGCCTTCTTGAGAGACATTATTCTTACTGCTTTTCACTCTGTTAGGATGCTCAATTAGTAATTCTAAAGAAACATTCCTCATCAGTCCATGTAGGCTAATTTCTTTCCCCTTACTAAGCATTACTGCCAATTTTTCACCCATTTAGGTAGGTTTTGAATTCAGAGAAGCAAGCATTTTAATCCTGTTTATCTTCAGTGAGAGGAGGAGCTGGGTGCGTGTTGTACACAGGACCCAAAAAACCTGTAAATGACTTGCTTAAAGTGAAGTAACCAAACTCCAACATCAATAAAGAGGAATGAAGCAAAATAACCTTCTTTAGGAACTTACCACTAACACTCAGCGTTGTCTTTGACCTCTCTGCTAACGCTGCCAGGTTGACATAGGCAGATCCAATAAGACGATCCCTATCAAGTGGTCTTTCCACGCCATTCTCTTTACCATATGCCCACCACACCTGGATTTCTAATTTCTCCTCTCTGAAGAACCAAAGCAGCCCTTGGCCCCTTCTGAGAGTCACCTTGTTTGGCTTCTTAAAGTTCACCGTAACATTCTTGGCGTCATCACTCAATTTTGGCCTCTGAAGCAAAGTCCACGTGGCTTCCTGATCATACAGTTTATACCTGAGGTAGCAATAAGTGCTTTTATCTAGGTGCATCTGGCCGCCAAGCAGCACAGAGTGGACTGGGAGCCATACTCTTGGAGTCGAGATGGTCACAGTCACTGGACTGGCATGCTGCTCCCATTCCTCGCTCTCATCCGTGCTGTCTTCCTGGCTTTCCTCGCTGCTCCATCCTAAGAGCTTAGCGGCCTCCAGAACCCGCTCTCTGTCATCCTGATGAGCAAAGCTCACAGAAAGTTCCAGTCCTCCCACAACGGCCTGCAGGACATTTGTGCAGTGCGAAGGCATTAAATCTTCTGACAGGGTAACCGGGTACCAGCCTGTAATACCTTTAAGAGAAGGGATCATGATTAGAATCACAGAATTATGGAACAGTTTGGGTGGGAAGGTACCTCAAAGGTCCCCCAGTCCCACCCCCTGCCATGGGCAGGGACACCTTCCATAGACCAGGTTGCTCCAAGCCTCATCCAGCCTGGCCTTGGACACTCCCAGGAATGGGGCATCCACAGTTTCTCTGGGCAAGTAGGATAAGATCAGACTTATCCTACCTCCTAAAAACCTCATTAAAGGATTTTCTACTCTCTGGTCATTAGTCAAGGACCAGTACCCGAAAGGTTTATTTCTTGTGAACATTTGGAATGCATCAAATTTCTATCCTGAAGAAATAGGAAATTGTTAGACCTCATTGGGAGCTCAGATCCCAAAGGCATGTGGACTTCCCATTTCATTATGACAATCATTTTACACCAAAACTATATCCCCATGAATCTCTAATTATAAAATTAGGCATTCTCAGGTTTTTTTCCTTTTCTCTTTCCATTAAAAAGAAATGTTATGTTGGAGAAAACTAGCTATTATACTGAGATTACAGCAGAAATCACCAAGATGTGTACAGAAGCCTTATTATTACAAGAGATTATCATCAGAAACTAACATTAGATAGAGGAGGCATTCCATATTTAGCTTAAAAACGTTAATCCAACTGCTTTCTAACCTATCTAAGCCTGTTTCCAGTTTTGACATCTCAAGAGACATCACCAGTCCTCCACTGAACACTACTACTCCTGGACTTCTAATGTTAAGGTAGAAAATAAACAGCACTGAATAAAATACTGAAGAGGTTAATATTTACTCAGCTACTGTACATCCCACACCCTGAAAACTGACCTTCCAACAATAACCCTTAGGTGAGCTTTTTCATACATGATTTTTAATGAAAGCATGTGCAATGTCTGAGAGAACTTTGGGCTAAAAAATATCCCCATCTCCCCCACAAATGGCCAACTACTACAGCATTTACCCAGATTGGCAGCAGTGTAAGGCTGCTGTGTTACCTGATCTTCTTCTCAGCAGGTCTCTGGTTGGAATTGCGACTGTCCCAAGAAGATAATCTCGTGCTGAACGAGCTGCCAATGTCTCAGTGCCTGGCAAATAAATCATTTGGTAAATACACCAAACCCAGAAAGATTTAAAACTAATTTATCTTCTCCTTTGAAAGAAAGGTTCTCCCCAGAGCGGAGCAGAGGGGGATAATCCCCTCCCTCGCCACCCTGGCCATGTTGCTCTGGATCCAGCCCAAGATGGGGTTGGCTTTTTGGGCTGCCAGTGCACACGGCCGGCTCATGGCCAGCTCCTTGCCCCCCCGGCACCCCCAGGTCCTACTCAGGACTGCTCTCGATCCACTCTCCACCCAGCCTGTCCTTGTGCTGGGATTGCTCCGCCCCCTTGGCCTTGTTGAATCCCATGCAGTTGGCACGGTCCCACCTCTCCAGCCTGACAGGGTCAATCCTGTCCATCTGCCCCAGGATCATCAAAGAATTTTAAGCTATCATTTCCGTGAACCTCCATTACCTCGGTCATGAGGTGGAGGCAGGGCACGCACACACAAAGGCAGGGTGCTCCAAGAGTCAAGCACTATTATGTTAATTGCATTAGCTTTTGATTTAAAAGGTGATCTTGATCACCTGGAGGCTTAGAAACCTTAACTCTTTGCACAAGTGGAAGAGTGTCTCCCAAAGCCTTCTCTGAAGACTGTTCAGGTAATGGCATCTATTAGCAACTGCCCAGAACAGTCCCTGGAAACATCCCAGGTGAGGCTGGATGGAGTTCTGAGCAACCTGACCTGGAGAAAGATGGCCCTGATCATGGCAGGGGGCTGGACTAGATCTCTGCAAGTCACCTCCCAGCCTAACTATTCTCTGCTTCTATGAATAGTCTCTCTTCTAAACTAAAAATTGAGGGAACTGGATCATTCTGCAACAACATTCAGTCATTGTAACCGCTCGTCCTCCTTACCCGACTTGTTGCTCTGATGGTAAAGAGAGAAGGTGATTTTGCCAGATTGCAAGAGCTCCCCCAGACAAGAGGCCTCTCCGCTACTTTTCTGAACGATGAGGTTACAAGGAAACTCTACGTGATGCTCGAACTCCGGGCAGAAAGAACGAGCCACGGCTCGCGTGCTGCGTCTCTCTGCCTCGGGTAGGAAGGAGAGGTGCACGGAGACGTAAGCATTGACTCCCACACCTGCGTAGTACTGCACCGAAGGGTTCTTCTGTGCCACAGCTCTTCATTTAGTATGTAAAAAGGAAAGAA